TAGCATCGGTGAGCATATGTTTGATTTCGAGGTTGCACGGCAACTGCAGCGACGATTAGGATCGCATGTTGCAGAAGCGAGGATAAAATAAGGACCAAAACAGAGTGCTCCAGCCGCAAGACTGGTTGTGGTGTCCAACTCTGAGCTCTCAGCCTTGCGGCTCGGGGCTGCACGGCGCTGAGTCATGAGTCAAGGAACTTGGGTGGGAGCTTGCTGGCATCACGCAGAAAGTCTTTGTCACTTGTGCTTCGCAAAGCTCGTAGTGATTTGTCCTGATGAAACCTGGTGCACTCTGATGTCTGCAAGCTGTTCTAGACGTGCCTAAACACCCGCTGTTCTGTCTGCACCCTGGCAGGTCCCAGATTTTTTCAAAGAGCGCTGCTTCATGTTACTTCTTCCCTTCGCCCCGCCGTCTGGCAGAGTCTTGCGAGTCTTGCAGCCGAAGCACTTCCGCAGCCGCGTTTCACCCAAAGGGTAGATGAATTTGGTGACGCCTTCAAGCTCGTAGTGAAGGCGTTGCCAAAGGTGGGGCCGGATGTAGCTCCGAGCCTCAGCCAGATAGCGGCTGCCGAGGCCGCGCCGCTGCTCAGCTGAACGCTTTTAAAGCTTTTAACGCTTCAGTTTGTGCTTCGCTGCCTTCACGATGCCACACCGCCACTCTGCATGGATCTGCATTGTTCGTTCGGGTTGGCAGACTCTGCTTCCGCACCCTCGGTGTGTCCGCATGCACGCCTCAAGACTCATGCTGTGGGATCTGACCTCGTGCGGCCACAGATTTCTCAGAAGCAAGGTCCAGTCTCCATATGAGGTGGCGAAGGCTGCCCAGCAGTTGGGTTTGTGATTTGCCCCTCGGCATAGTGGTCCAGGACGCCCTCGCTTCCGCTAGTGGCACCCAGCCGTCGTTCTCACGTGCGCGAAAAAATTCTCTAACCAGTGATCGCGAATGGGTCTCGAGGTTTCTCTTCTTGTGCTTGCGTTGTCCACCTGGACATGGTATGGAAACGACGAACGGCTGTGGCTCGGCAAGCAAATGGGGTCGTTTTGTGAAGCTACTGCACCATGCTGTATCTACAGTGCAACAAATGAAACCACGCAGCGCGGCACATGAGATGATACGGTCGTTCTGGCGTTCGCCAAAAACCTGAAATTACTGTGCGTTCAAAACGTTTGCAAATACTTGATCCTGGCATTCCAGCAAACGCCGGTGTCATGCCGCGCCCAATTAGCCGTGCCTTTGTTAGGTAGTGACTGCTGAACTGCTGCACTTGCACAGAGACAGGCAGAGAGCCATATGCACACACACACAGATATGCGCAACTCGAAACAACTGAGGCGTGTCCGAGCAATGTTTGAGCAACATTGGACATTTCAGTTTTTACCGGCATGCCGTGTCGCTGCCTACAGAACGCTGTATCGAATGCAACATGAACTACTGTAGACTTTAGTCGAAAACCAAATCGGATTTCATGATCTCGACATTCTGCCAACTGCAACAGTCGGGCGAGGATTAGGGGTTCGTGGAGTCGTAGACTACGTAGGCCGTCCGCACCATGCTATTTCTGATTTGTCAGTAACTACAGCAAGTGTATAATGGAATGATTTAGAGTAGAATGTCGAAACCCCATCACAATGCCCATGTCTTCTTTCACAGCATGCCAGGTCTCTGCAAAGAATCGTGGAGAAGCTTAGCTGCAACGACTGATCCGAAAGCCCAAATACTGCTGGCATCGCCAATCGTCAGCCCAGTGTGGTAATTGCATGTAGTGATCCTGAGGTTTTGGTGGTTGCCTGGCAGCATCTCCCTCCGACTAATCGAGAGGGGGAAGGAAGAAATCGAGAGAGAGAGAGAGGGAGAAAGACAGAAAGAGAGAGAGAGAGAGAGCCGTAGAAGAAGAAGAAGAAGAAGAAGAAGAAGAAGAAGAAGAAGAAGAAGAAGAAGAAGAAGAAGAAGAGGAAGAGAGAGAGCGATCTCTCATTCCCGCAAAGAGAGAAAGATTTTGCTCAGCAAATGCTGACGATTTTCAGCCAGCGAGGTGATGCCTGTGTGGAATTTTGCTGCAACCCCGAGTCTTGGTTGAAGTGCTACGATTCCGCAAGCAGTTATCTGCCGTTCTGGTGATGCACAACAGTTGCATAACCTTGCGTCTGTTCAAAAATGGAATGAGTAGACAAGTTGTCGCAAGTTGTGCAGGCAGCAAGTGTAGAGCATTCCAGCCACAGCTTCGTAGATCCAGTCAGAGTATATTGGCATGACTGCGCATATTGCCATGAAAACTTGGCAGCGGCAGAGCCGAGCACATGTGGGGCCCCATGTAAGAGTTGGCATGCTCAGACCACAGTTTGCACGTGAAGCCGGAAGTGTCGAACAAACTGTACAGGGTAGAGGGTTTGCCACAGGACAGCGACCCTGGCGGTGATTGGTGTTTTGTGGAGAACCAGACATGCGAAGGCGATTCGTATGGTTATTGCAAGACCAGCACGACAAGTCAGACCCTCGTTTGCACTGTGGTATGCTGAACTCAGCTGGATTGGCTTTAGGAAGAATCAGAGCCACTGTGCATGACAACGATGCTTGAGGCGTCAGTTAGTTTTTCCATGTGTGGAACTTGCATTCGTTTTCTTGTCAGGGCTCAACTGGAACATGAGCTATTGAAGAAATGCGAATTTGTGCGTGAAAGGTCGGCCACATCCACAAGCAGCACCACCATCAGCACCAGCAGCACCAGCACCATGAGCACCACCAGGACCAGCACCAGCACCACCAGGACCACCCGGACCATCACCAGCACCAGCACCAGCACCACCAGGACCAGCACCAGCACCACGAGCAGTACCAGAACTAGAAGCACCACCAGCGCCAGCACCACCACTAGCGCCACCAGGACCAGCACCAGCACTAGCACCACCACTAGCGCCACCAGGACCAGCACCAGCACTAGCAACACCTTGACCAGCACCAGCACTAGCACCACCAGGACCAGCACCAGCACTAGCACCACCAGGACCAGCACCAGCACCAGCAACACCAGGACCAGCACTAGCGCCACCGCTACCAGCACCAGCACCAGCGCCACAAGCAGCAGCACCACCACCACGGCCACCACCACCACCACCACCACCACCATCACCATCACCACAACAAGCACCGGCACCAGCACCGGCACCAGCACCACCAGCACCACAAGCACCAGCAGCACCCAGACCAGCACTACAAGCGCCAGCACCACAAGCATCAGCACCACAAGCACCAGCACCACAAGCACCAGCAGCACCCACACCAGCACTACAAGCGCCAGCACCACAAGCATCAGCACCACAAGCACCAGCACCACAAGCACCAGCACCACCAGCGTCAGCACCACAAGCACCAGCACCAGCACCAGCATCAGCAGCACCAGCACCAGCAGCACCACCAGCGCCAGCACCACCAGCACCAGCACGATCACCAGCACCAGCACCAGCACCATCACCAGCACAGCCAGCACCGCCAGCACCGCCAGCACCGCCAGCACCGCCAGCACCACCAGCACCGCCAGCACCGCCAGCACCGCCAGCACCACCAGCACCGCCAGCACCGCCAGCACCGCCAGCACCACCAGCACCGCCAGCACCGCCAGCACCGCCAGCACCACCACCGCGAGCACCAGCACCAGCACCAGTAGTACCAGCACCAGCACCAGCATTGGCACCACCAGGACCAGCACCAGGTCCCACACAGCCACAGAAACTTCCACAACGTCCAAGACTAGCCCAAGCACGGCCCGACTTTCAAGTTCAACCACATCTGCCACAACCACGAGCACTACACACTCCGCCAGCATGACGGCTACCTTAGCCCCCGCATCCACGACAAGCACAGCCACGAGGACCGATACAAGTTCCACAAACTCTAACCGCCCTGCAATCGACGCCACCACCACGGCGACAAGAACCACGAGCATGACAATCACCAGCTCCACAGACCCCAAAGCCGCAACCACTGAGACGACCAACCAAAGTGACCCGAGCTCCACCAGCAGCGGAGCCACCAGCACTGCCACCGTTATGGCGACTACAGCAACGACAACGACGACATCAACGACGACATCAACGACGATAGCAGCAACAGCAGCAGCAACAACCGCAACCGCAACTCTCAGCGGCACCAGCTTCAACAGCGACACCAGCCACACTAGCACCGCAGCAACCAGCACTATCACGCTCGCCACAGCCACCAGAACTTGGAGTGATGCAAGGTCCACGAGCAGCAGCGCTTTAGTTGTCACAATCACAGCCACCACCACCACCGTCACCTTCACTAAGGCCACTGAAACCACAATGCCCACCACGATCACCACCAAAACCACGACGGTCACCACCACATCCATCACCGATGACTATGTCTCTAGCAGTTCCGACATTCGAGCCATCAACACCACCAGCACCACCAGGGCCAGCGGCAACAGCGCCGCACCCGTCACAAGCCTTGCATCCACAAGCAGCACAAGAGAAGCGCCCCTTGCGTCTACAAGCACCACCTCAACCTCGAAACTCGGTGGCAAACACATTCCATGAGACGACTGAACATTGGCCCTGCAGCATGTTGGTGGAAGATGATGATCTTAGTTATGCTGTGGACCCCGCTAGAAAGCAGAGATAGCTTTCTTCTGGGGACTGTTTTGTATTCCTTCAAAGGGTCACGGGGCCCGCTCAGTTTGCGGGGGTATAGATCTTTCGCGCAAATGCTTACAGTAATGCGTGACTTTCGCAAAGCCTGCCATCTCGCGACTTGAGAAGCCTGGACTCCACAGCTGGCAGTCGATTGCTTGGGGTCTGCCCTGGTGTAAGGGTACCACAACAAGACTGAAAGCTGCTCCACAAAGCCAGACCCCAATATCACCAACCAACTTTGTTCCCTGGACGCACCTGGGTTGTAGCCTGCAGTGTCTGAGGGCAACCTGGCCTGCGACAGTGCAGCAGCCCCAACTGCTTGCTGCATATTGGTGCCAATTGTCGATTGCATGGCCTCCAAATGCCAATCGCACCCGCTTGAAACCACCGCTGTTCTTTGCAAGGTCTGCATGCGTTGTGCTGCAGCTCTCGCGTGAGGCATGTGCCAATAACCGGAAGCTATCATGAGTGGGTGAGAGCGAGAGAGAGATACATATATATATATATAGATATACATATCCAAAGCAATTCTAGGTTCGTCTGGGCACAGTTGGGTTTACGGTAGACTCTCGAGAGAACCGGAGTGAGCGCTTCTAGCGGGGCAGAAAGCCTTCTGGCCTAAGCAGCAACGACCCGAAACCGGGGTGGGCAAAATTACCCGGACGGCGGCCTCAGCCTCGCGAAAGAAAGGACGAAAGAGCCTCTGAGTGCAGAAGTCCAAAAAGAAGAAAAAGAGAAAGGAGGGAGAGAAAGAGAGAGAGAGGGAGAGAGAATGCAGCGGCATACGAGATGGGAGCCGTTGTCAAGTCAATACCATAGCTTTTACTAGTAATATTCCAGCAGCTACCCAAAAAATCCAAGTTAAGAATTTCGCCCAGGCACACTTGCCGGGTAGCCTATTCAGCCAAGGTATCATGTACTTTTCACCCGGAAGACGAGCCAGACGGTTCGCACCGGTGTCGAGCTTGAAGACAGCAAAATGCAGTACATATATGGCTACATTGACTGCATATTGTGTAGCGCGATCAACAACGCAATCCATCGAGAGCCAGAGTTGCATCAGCAGCTCGATGACCGGGCTGTCTACGAGCCATAAATTTGCATGCGCGGGCCACCAGTGCTGGAGAGGTCAAGGCAACATGCGCGATACTCAACGAGGAGAAGACTGAGCTCAGATCAACTAGAGGAGAATGTAGGAGTCGAGTAGACGACAATAAACTTGATGATTGCAGCCGATGCACACCGATACACGGAGCGTGCCACAACTTTCTGGTTGGACGTTTCAGGGGGATGCAAAACGCAACAATAAGACGCCCTGTGCAGGTCCCAGATTTCCAGTTACAAGAGGCTCTTCGCTGGGCAGTGGCGGACGTGGCAGGAGTCATGGAGGACACTGCGAGCCGAGCATCCATGGAACGCCATCCCTCACTTTTGTCAAGAAGTTTAGCGCCTGCTCAGTGTACTCCTCTCAACCACGCGAGCTCGACCACTTTACTTAGTCTGCTCCTCTCCAAACACATTGCCACAAGTCCAAAGCCCCGCACGAGTTGTGGCGCGTGTATTTGACGGTGGATTCAGCCAAGCAAGGGCCAGCCCAGAACCAGCAGAAGCCCGGTACAGCTGAACCGAACCCCAGCTCGTTGGGCCAGGGCCGACGAGACTCGACCCTCTTACATGGACTCTGATTTGGTTGAATGCCAGGAATACCGACTGCAGTTGCGTTCGTGTCTAAGCCAACGCAGCTGAAGCTACGGCGTCTACGATTTCGTGCGGAGGGGGGCGGGCCATTTCCAAAAGCAGCAAGAGCTCTCACCTCTCGGCACGACTCACGCATTTGTCCCCCCCCCCCCCCCACACTTCCACTCCCCACCTCCACGATGTGTGTCACACTGGTGCCACGCGTACACATGTAGGTATCCCCTGCAACCCCTCTTTTCTAATTGCGTGTCGCTGGATGCATGCATCCACAGCAGCAGGAATGTGTTTAGCAGCACAGGAGCAAGTGGTAGTTTCCACGGAGGACATGCCGCCGGCTCAGTTTATCATCTGGCGCCTCAGCCTCGTAGCGATGCTGTTGGTTAGGTTTGCACCTTGCGGGCGTGGACTTCAACAAGCTGCCTTTAATGTCTCGGAGGTTGTGACCAGCTTGGGGCTAAGCGCCGGCCAAGTTCAAGTTGGGGATAGCGTCCATGTGTGCCGACAAACCAACACGCTCCAGAGTGCCGCAGCCTTTTCTGTCACCAGGCTACGAGATTCGCATTCCAAGTTCTGTGGAAGGGGAGGAGAAATCCGTAGAGATCGCGGAGCAGGTGCAGAGTAATTTTAATGCTACGGGACCCGCCTCGGCCTGGCCCAGCGCAGCCTCTTGGAGCATGTGGAGTCCGCAACCACGGCACCCTGAATCTGAAGCTCTGCAGCTGCACCGGGGTCATTCACGTAAAAAGGAGGGGGGGGTGCGGTTGGGATGAAACAGAGGTGGGGGGGGGGGGGGTTGGGGTGCACAGTCGGCTTCCGCACACGTGTTGGCTTGGGGGGGTACCCATTTCGGCCAAAAGAAGAGGCCAATAAGGAGGAGCACGCAAGGGCGGCGTGTTGGGGAGGGGATTATAGAGGTGGGGTGCCTGCTTTGTGCTCCCCATACGCCTACGGCCCGAGGCCTCGGCGGATTACCACCGTAGACGCCGTAGGGAATTAGAACCTTCTGCATATTGCGCAGGAAGGCAGTACTTTGCACACACATCATCTGCAGCAAGCTGGAACAAGCGAAGAAGCACACTGAACTTCGCAAGCCAAATTCCTATTTGACTAGCGTGAGGTCTGGCGTAATGGGACGATGCCAAACTTTAGCAGACGACTCTGAGTAATTCCTCAAGAGTAAAACAAGCGCATTCTGCAGGTGCGAGCTGCTCTTGACGCTGCGACGAAAACGGGGCTTGCAGCAAAGATCAAAGAGGTCAGAAGCCCTCTTGGTAGCTGGTAGCTTGGTTGGTCTTAGAAAGCAAGTAAGATAAAGTGAGAGGCTTTCCTCCTGCAGTCCGAGTTGGCTGAAGTGGCCGTTGCGGTGTCCATACTGGGCGAGCCTCTCTTGGAGGCATTCGCGTGTCGGGATTTTGAAGGAAGTGAACTGCGAAGCGATCACTGCTGATGCCTGGGAGGTGCTGCAGACTACTTTCGCAGAGGTCCCACCTGCCACAGAATCGAAGTATCCGAGTGCCCTGGCTGCCTCTGATCTGTAGAAGGGATGATAATGGTGCCAGTCCATTCCCCCCTCGGACTTGGAGGAAGTGTCTGCGATGTCTGCGAGGCCTTGTGCCAGAGGCTGTGACCATTAGCAGTGCAAGCGCATCAATTCTGGCTATCATGGTGCTCATACTTTGCTGCTCGGTTGCAGTACATATGGGCTTGTGACGAGAGCATTCCTGAACATACTTGAACATGCGGGGGGGGGGGGGGGGTTTGCACTTAACTTGCTTGGCTATTCATGAGATATCAACGAGCACAGACATTGAATCGGTGCAATGTTCTTGATGGCGCCAGCATGCGATGGAAGCCAGGGAATAAATCCGGATTTTTCATCTTTCGTGTACTTACCTGCAAGGCTACATGATGAACATCAATAATTCAGGGTAAACAACCCCATTGCCTTGAACATGAGCTATATGTTTAACTCGCCAAGCACATATCATCAATATACATATATATATATATATACATAGATAAATGTCATCTGTTAATTCCGACACCCGGTCCTGCATGAGATTATGGACCCACTTCTCTGCATTTCTCTGAGTCAAATGGCAGGGCTGATCCTGTGTAAGCCCAAACCTTGTTTCAATTGCCAGACTGGCGCCAAAGCAGCAAGCACCCGACATCTGTCGGAGAAAGCAGCTCAGCCTCCAGGTTGCACTACTCGTACGTCACTTCGCGATAGGAGAGCCTGTTGTGCAGCGTCGTTGTGGCGTCACGAGCCTGGCTAAGGTGTCATTTGTTGGTGTCACGCCAGCAGACGCTGACGCAATGTCGCCGCAGTTTAAGGAGGATGTCATGTTGAGTTCCATTGACATCTTTGATGAGCAAATGCCAGAGCCTGGCCAGCATAAGTCGGATTTGACTGTACCAGCACGCAAGATAGATGCATTTCTTGACGCTCTTTCGTAACCGGCGGGCACAAGTCAGATCTGCATGGCTCATGTGTGCACTCTCTGCATGTGTGATATGTGTGAGATGCATGTTCTTGCCCTCAGCGTTCCAAAAAGGCAGCTAGCCAGCAGAGCTTTCCGCTGTCCAGCAAGAGCTTTCCGACTCAGAAGCGGCCTGGCAGCATCTTCTCCACTCATCAGGCTGAAACCTGTCGTAGCCCTCAGCAAGTGTTCCCCATGTGTGCATGAATGTGAGCACAGAGAAGAGCATGGTGTGATGCAACGCAGTGATTGCCGACACAAACTGCAGGGCTCAGCCAGAGAGCGGCAAACAGGCCTGGAACTTAGCCAGTGCAGTTGAGCCGTGGCCGTGAGGCCTGAGGCAGTCTTGAGCCGTCCTTCTCATCTCAGGATGCTTTTTGGAGAGGTTTTTTTTGGGTACAGACGGTAGCTCTGGTAAGGTGCCCTCTCCCCGCCCCACGCGGCGCAAAGTCTGGCGAGCAGTTCCGATTCCGCGCGATGGCGGGGAGAAGGAGGAGGAGGTGTTTGCTTTTGCTCGTACTGTGGCAGTCATAGCAGTTTGGGTTATTGCAGCTGCCCTTGTGCCAGTGACGAAGTAGATGGTCAGATGATGCAAGCTCCTGGAGAGGAACCGCGGCGAGGCCGTGCCAAGCGCAAGGCCACTGAGTAAGGTACCGGTACAGGGCATGTGGCATAAGTATTTAGTACGCACCGGCGCAGCCGGCCCACCGATCGCACTGCGACATAGTGCCATGGGGAGTGGAGTGGTATGTGATGGGCAAGCCAGTCACTGGTTGGCCTGAGAGTTAGTCGTGTTGGCATCTATGCCTGCTGTAGGAGCCACGTTTGCCTGCCGTGCAGAGCTAGGAGCTAGCGTCAGACCTTGCGGCCGCATGGTCCTCGACTGTTCGGGACTGGGTTCCGTGAGAGAGTCCCTTGCAGAGAAGTTAGTTATTGTGTTGAGCCAATTGACATCAACTGCGTGTCCAGCTTTGCATGCTGACAGGGCTCAGCTTGCATTTGAGCTTGACAGAGTTTTTTCGCGGTATTGCAAGGCGCGGCGGGCCTCGCCCCAATCCGGCCGCGCACAACCAACGGAGCTGCATGGTATAGTGGTGGAGGACCCACAGGCCGACACAGCGCTTGCGTCGGTGGTGGATGTCGTAGCCCGGGTTTGCCGCCCGGGTTTGCCCTTGCAGGTGCATCACTGCGCAGAAGGCATCTCTCCCGGAGATCACGAAGCTTGATTGGGCCAGTTTAGCGCAGCCCGGATGAATATATGTTGGCACCGATGTTCGCACAGAAGTAGTGGAAGTCGTGACAACCGTTTTCCAGGCATGTGCAGCGGTCTCAGCTCAAGCTTGCAACGGGATCCGAATGGGTTCACCGCTGAGGCTGCTCTGAAGGCCTTCTCCCGAAACTTGGAGAAGTTTCGGGGTTTGGCCACTTGAGTTTTGTGCGGAAGCAACCATGCGCCGACGTGGACTATACGAATGGAACCAGCAACATTACACTCAACACAGCCGTTGAGGAATGGGAAGGCGATCGTGAAACGAGCTGAAGGCCGGGATATGGCAGGTTGGAAGATGGCTCCCGTGGTTTGAAGCCTGTTTAAGCAGCTTGCTTGTGTTTGCCACTTCTTCAAGTTCGTTCACGTGTGTGTGGCCCCTGTATGGCTTGTGTGCCGGAGGTCCTCTAGCAGCAGTTGATTTAGGCGCAGCTGCTCAGCTCTGGTGCCAAAGCTCAGGAGCTACAGTGTAACTGCAGCACTTACTGGGTCAATGGGCTCGACCACATTGTTGTAACCTTATGTTGCCAGCACAAGCAAGATCAGCACACTCAGATGGTTCCCGAGTGGGGTAAGCATGCACACACTAGCTAAGAGGTTGCCTGTCATCTAGGAGCCTTGCACGAGAGCTCAGCACTTGCATTAGTGCGAGCATGCCGAAAAAGTTTTTTCGAGCGCTTCTCTTCCGATAGCTGGGGACAGCGGCTATGTGCAGTACTCTGGGGCAATGTGGCTCACTTCGGCGACTGGCCTTCAAGTCTGAGTTTTTTCAGAACAATTGCTCGGAGAGCTTCCGGAAAGAGACGCTGCTCAGCTTGCTTTCAGCTACTGCGTTGTTGCCTTCGAGATTGTCCAAAGCACTCAGACTCAGACCACACAGTGCTGTCAGTAATGGGTGGGGCCGCTTAAGGACGTTTGGCTTGCCGCAGTAGGGACACTTAAGGCGGTCACTTGGACTGCAGATGGCGAAGCCGCCCCGAATTTGTGCAAGCGGCCAGCAGAAGCCGGAGCTGAAGGCTAGGGAAGTCCCCCACACACTGATTTCAGGAATTCCTTCGGACATTTGTGCTACTGTGCTAGCATTCCATGGCCATGTGCCGTAGCCGTTCAGCGTTAGGCAGCTCTGTTTCGGATTCTCGGCTGCTAGTTCGTTTCACTTTTGCAGAATGCACCGTGACATCTGAGACCGCAAGAAAGAACCGCGACAATACGCACGCCGTCCTGCTTGACGTGAAGACTTGGCGATGCGCGTTTGTGAGAGATCCTGAGACTGAAGGGCAAAACCACGTTTTGTCATCGGGTGCCGTCCAAGCTGCTGGAGGTTGCTTTGTTTTCCAAAGCTCTCATGGCAATGCTTGCAACACATGATTAGACTCTCAGCTCTCGTGGCAAGGGCTGCGGTGGACGTCACGCTTCAGGGATAAGGGGGTCCTCGAAGACCCAGTTTTGGCAAGCTCGTATCAACTTGCGCCATGAGCATGCGCAACTGGTGGAGCCTGCGCTGCGAGGCGTGGGGTCGAAGCCAGAGGTTCATGTTTTTCGATTTATTTCATGCCTCATATCTTTAAGCCCCAACATGGTCAACCTCCAGCCGGTGTGGCCTGGGTTGGCCTGCTTGTTTGCTCGCGCTACACCGCGCCCTCCGCGACCCCCCACCGTTTGCCTCCCTTGCAGTCCCAACGCAGGCCTTGTGCCTGGATGGAGCCTATAGAATGTGTGCGCTCCTGAGTTGTTATGTGGCTGTGAGCGTGGGCAATGTGCTGAGTTTCAAGTGGTCTCATCTGATCTCTGGATACAAGCGAGCTGCTGTCAGCTGTCAGCCTAGCTGTCAGCCTACGGTGCTAGCCGTGGAAAGGCTCAGATTGGCGATCCCTGCTGCCCGCCGCTTCCCAAGCTGTTGCTTCCGATAGCGCGCCTGTGCGCGAAACCATGAAGCCACGGAGCCACGGAGCTTTGTTGATTCGTTGCTCCTCTTGGTCGTTCCGGGTGTTGTCTTGTAGACATTGTCCTAGACGGTCGAAAGTCCTGGTGAGTACGCTTTGCTCTGCGCTTTGCTCTGTCCAGAAGCTCTGCCGTCCTCAAAGGGAGCCAAGCGACGAAAGTGGACTCGGTCTTCTCCAAGAAATGGCGGCGGTGGTCGGAAGGCAATTCGTATCAGGCATATCATTACGTTTCCCTTGAAAAGTAGGGTCCTAGCTATGTCAAGAACATCAAGGTATGGATGTGCAGCAAATGGCAGAATTGATGGATGGTCCTGCGATTTTGTGCGCCGGCACCCCTGGCACTTGTGAGGCACTAGGCATGGTGGAGGTGAATGGAGTGTGGGTGGAATACGATCCCGACAGCACCTCGGCTTGGCATTGAACAGCAAAAGGGGCTTGCAAGCTGAACTGAAAGGCCTTCTGCTGAAGTTGTAGGTGCTGCCTGATACCCTGAAGGTGCAACAGAAGCACCTGCTGCTTGCGCATCGCTTTGCGTGTGACGGGGCCTCTCTCAGGTGACCCATACGATCCCCGAACTGCACCGCTGCTACCACCCAGACCTCCAGCGCGGAACCAGGCATCCGCAGTATCAGGGAGCTTTCGAATGTGTCGCACGCTGACGTACCAATACCTGCAACATGCACAGTATAATGTTGTACCTGCCCCAGCGTGCGAGCCCCCCCCTCCCCCCCAGAACAGTCGGAGCTGGTTTCGTTCCTCTTTACACGGCTCACGGGGTTTATAAGATCTTAAACGGGAGGGGTGTATTTGAGTTTAAGAGGGACCGTGAGGCCCGGCAATTGATGTTAAATGCGCTCTGCGCGGAATTTTCTTACGACAGCCGGACGATTTGACCATAAGCAGGGACCTGGCCTGCAGCGTGTCCTGAAAAGCCCAGCCCATCTGACTTTATTGAGGGCCCCCACTCCAGCAGGCGGAACATGACTGGTTATATACCGCACATTGCATGCTGTGTGCGTTCATATAATGAACAGAAACAATTGAAATCAGCTTATCTCCAGGGCGTAGGTTCGCGCAGGCAGTCTACACAAGCCACAGTCGCTTTGCTGTGTAGGCTCTGCTTAGAAGTTTCCGGGCTCAGGGCATAGGCCTGCACAGGCCAGCATGAGTCGCGAAATTGCCCGTTTGCCCTCGCGGCGTTATTTGTTTTGAATGGACCCTTTGGCCCACATGCCAACATTCTACCGAATTTGGGCCGCCTTCCTCATGAGCTTCCTTTCGCCAGGCAGTCTTCAATGTGCTTCTCCAGCCGCCGCATCAGGACGCTATGTGTGACTTCCATGCTGCACAGCTTCCGTGGAGTATGCCTTAGTGTGTGCGTAGGGGATGCAAATGAGAGTGGGCCGAAGCTCCACGTTTGCCGTGGCGGCACACTAACCAACCTGTTGCGCCAGGCCATCGTGGCGAACCACAAGCGTGCTCCATCCACACCTTCAACACATGTGGGAGAGTCAACCTCAATGCATACAGCTCAGCTGAGTGGGGCAACAATCCAACGAGCACCTCATGGCTGTACAGGGCCCTGCAGCAGGCCAATTGAACACAGCTGAGGTCGACGATGTCGGAAAAGGAGATGCGAGACGAAAGTGCGTGCGAGGACTCCACTCTTGCTCTAGGAAGACTGGCTGAAGAACCTTGCTTGACAGACCCCGCCGCTTTTGGGCAGAGATCATCTTCAAGCATTCCTGTTGAGAAGAGTCGCGACATGGATCTCACTTGTTAACAGCTGTAATTAGTTTATGACACAAAGACATGTCCTTCTGATGGCATGTTGTTTGGGGCAGGACCTGTTGGATGCCACGGTGTCCAGCAAGGCATCCGCAAATCTGGCACAAGCCCTTGCACTTCCTCTCTGTGCCATCGGATGTCTTCCACAGACTGGCTTTCACGCGCACAGGACACAGCATCCACCCCAGCTGCCCAGAACTTAGAGGAGGGAAGCATTGCGCAGCCGGCAGAGGGGATCTCCACTTCATGTTCCTTGCTGCTTCCCGAATCCCAGGATGTGCACCTACGTAGGGCTGTGGACGCTGCAGTCGAACAGCCGACAAGCCAGGCAAGCTCGGCGGCACCAAACATGTGCACACGAACCCGAAAGCCGAAAGCTGCGGAGCTAGGGGCGGAAAGGTCTGGGTTGAATCGCTGCTTGTAGCATGGCAATCTCGTGGCCGTCATGTGGCTCCCCGGTATTGGCACGGACGTTTGAGCACTATAATTGCAGCAATTATGCCATTGACATGAAGAGTCGGAAGTCTGCAGGCGATACATTGCCCGAGAACGAACTGCTCACGTCTGATGATGACAGCTCAGTCATGGCTAGCGTTTCCATCGTCGAAAGTTGATTGAAGAAGAACTGGATCAGGAAGCGCAGCACATTAGAAATATGTGCCAAGAACGTGGGCGGGCCTTTTGCTGTGCACGAAACGTCACGTTGGGATCGTGTGCAGACTCCTATTCCACAGGATCAAAAGAACCATGCAGAACTTCTCATGAACAGGTCGAACCAACATCCCGTCATAAACGTTGCTTTGAAGAGATCTGCCAAGAAGCGCTTCCCAGATGGCCATTTCAGGTTCTTGAGCGCACCACGTGGTATTTTTTCGAATTGACACACTGCAGATATGCAAGATATTCCCAACTGTGAAGCTTTGTGAAGCATCTTTGTGGCGTGCGAGTAAAATTTAGGGCATATCCATCGAAGTGGGATGTAGCAGTAGAGTTTTTGAAAGATGCTTCGGGACACGCTGGACCGCCTAGAGCCGCGAGCCAGGGGGTCAACATTTTAGAGCACGTGGCTCGCGCATGAGCCGGCCACGAGCACCACATTCTCTTTTGCCTATACTTGCTTGGACGCTGGTATTCCACTGATGTTGCATGATTTCGGAGAAAGAGGTTGCTTGTTGGGCATCAGGCTCATTGAGAGCTGAGCTTCCAGTAGCGCACGAATCGGGCTGCTTTCAACCCCGCCGTGGTGTGCGCATGCACACACATACACTGGCTTGGCAACGCGCGGACACACACACACACACAGAGACACCCACACACCCACACCCACCCACGCACGCACGCACGCAGAAACATAGAGACCCACCCCACCCACGCACGCAGAAACATAGAGACCCACGTGCAACGAGCCCTCAGCCCCTGCCGCTAGTTGCAGCGAATGCCATTACATATCGTCATAGTCACTCATAGTCATAGTCACTTAAGACTTATAACACCCAAAAGGCCTGCAAGCACGAGAGCTTACAGGAGTTTCGACAGGCCTTGAACGCTCCGATCCCCCTGGTCCCCTGAACCCCTGTGGTGCGCACGCCCCTCCTCCCCGTTCCCATGCAACAACGTCCTCTCATGCCCGTTTTGGAGATGAAGTCTCACGTTCGAACACAGCGGTTTCAAAATAGCACTGTTGCATTGGGATGCTGTGCTACCTTCATTACCTTGGACTGTCGACTTGTCTCGGTTCAAGCTGCCGGCTGCGGGGGCCACGCTTTGCTGCGCCCAGGCTGGTCAGGCGTGAGGGATGTGGAACAGTTATAAATACTACGTAAGTAGAAGTGTAATTGGCGGCGATGAGCCCGCTCTCGCCAATTTGCCACATCAACGCAGAGGCAGAAGCCCGCATCAATGAAGTGCTTGGTCGTCGGCTGAGACTTCTCAGCTAGCTCCACATGGCCACATGTCAAAGACCATGCACTGGCAAGAGTGTGTGTCTGCTGTCAATGCCAAGATGGTGGCTTGCTCATTGTACGTGTTCCCAGGCGTTGGGCCTCGCTACGCTGGCTCTCGTCCATGGGGCCAAGGTGAAGACCAGGCCAGCAGCTTTAGCAGAAAGGATGAAGGCCATGGAAGGGCGCCCGCCCCCCCGCCCCCCTTCACGCAAGGGTCCGTCTGGTCATGCCTGCTCACGTTTCCGTTTAAGTGTACAGTAGGACACGAAAGTCTTTTGGACTCCACACCATCCGAACGCACTGATAATGGGGCTCAACTTCGCGCATCTTCGCGCTTCCAGAGGCTGCGTCCTGCGAACCCAGGCAGGATGCCATTCATGATCATTCTTGTGTTGTCATCAAGCGTCATTCAAATTCATCATGAACATTCATGAATGAAGAGCATGGAGATGCTTGTCAGGCCTGCCTTCCTTCTACCACACCAGCGAGGTCCAGTGCCCGTATTGCCGCCCAAGTCCGTTCCGTCACATGATGAGCGCCTGCCGCATCCTCCTGAAGCAAATCCTCAGACAACTGTCTTTTGCAGCGTGGCAGTGTGCAATTTCACAAGCTAGCGCAAGACAGGACCTTCGTAGCGAGCTGCAGTCGCTGGCCGACCGGTGCTCCGATTTGTCGATAAGGAAAGGTTTGAGTCGTCTTGAGTGAGAGAGCCAAAGCTTTTGAATAGTTTTGTCATGATACTTTCGAATCAGCTTTAGGACAAGCCGCTGTTTGTGTGCCAGAGCACGAAGATGCTGCAGCATCGCAGGTAGCAGAGAAGATGTTGTAGCACACTTCGGGCCCGCCCTCCGACCTAGCACATAGCGCACATCGCGCACATTGCAGGTTTCCACGAGAGCCGCTCTGCACACGATGGGATGGGTTGGGCAATGGCTATAAAGAATGGGGTAATATGCGAGGACTGTGAGCAGGACAAGCTTGGCTGATAGACGGTCGGTGGACCTGGTCCGGGCGCCTACGGCTGCAATCTGCGGATGCTTTTCGCTGCATGTGGAGCGTTGTTTGTCGCATCCAGGACGTGGTCTCCATCCGAGCTCCCGATGCACATCCAAAAAACAAGGTCTTCATGCTCTTTGGGGCGCCGCTGGCTTGTTGCCTAACGTTGCATAGCCACGGCTCTTCACAAGCACCGACCCCTGTGCACCTGGCATGATGTCGCAGGACTTCTTTGAGCAGTGTGCTGTCATGTGCTGACATGTGCTGACATGTGCTGACATGTGCCGACTGTCCGACTATGTACTGACATGTGCGGCCCCAAGCTCTCCAAAAACACCTATGCCTGCACATTCCATGGACTCAGTCGCCTTGTAGTCCCTTGACCCTTCATTCGCAGCCCACTCCAACACCACGACTACAACTACCCTTGGCACGTTACTGAACTTTGCGCTTCGATTGCTAGCTGCCATCCTTTCCTTTCCTTTCCTTGCAAAGCATTGAGCACGTTGCCTGGATGCGCCCAGCATATTATGAGCAAGGCCCGCTTGGACGGTGACTGTACGCAGCAGCGCCTCGCACATCATGCTTAGCATATCGCGGCTTGTAGTCTCGGCACAGGTCCTGGTCTTGGAAGAGGACCTCAGGCGGCCACATGCTCTGTCACCTGAGGTGGGGACAGAGATCGGATGTGCCTACTTGAGGAATTGTGATCCCTTGTTTGAGGATGTCTTGGCTTGCTTCAACGTCAGCCTGGAGACGGGGCTCACACACAGTCAGGCAAGAGGCTAAAAAAAGCAGGGAGTCAGGGCATCTGCTGAGACTCGCTTGAGGTACGGTACCTCAGTGCCCACTCGCATCCGCTCGCAGTCCTGTGGCCCCTGAGGTTCTCCAACAGAGGCTGCGTCACGGCCCAAACGAACTGACGGAGGAGGTGCACTGAGAGCACCGGGCAGATCTAGGTGCGGAGGCATGGATCGAGGGCCACATCCTGCGCCTTTTGAGGAGAAGAAGTCCCTTTGGAAGCTGATCCTCGCCCAGTTCGAAGACCTGTTTCTCGGCAGATGCACGGGGATACACGGGGAATTTGTTGTTGGAACAATCTCGTTTTGGAGCTTATGGCCGACTACTAAAGTAGCAGTGCCACACGCAATCAGGCTCGAACTTCGTGTATTGCCGCCACAGCTCAATGTCTTTTCTCAGCTGTATCGTCAAAGATGCGTCAAAATGCATCCCAGGTATGTCGTTTGTTTATTTGCCTGGTCTGCCAGCACTGGTCTTTGCGTTGACACGTGTGAACTCTTACATCTGGCCATAGACCGCTCCACCGCTCTGGGCTTACGGTACGTTGCGTCATTTCGAGCTGATGCAATCCATGACTACTTTTCGCACTGTTCTGATTTTTTGCTGGCCGCCTCCCCTTCTTCCTGAACTCCGTCTCGTCTCTCGTCTCGACTCATTGGACTTTCCACTTGGGGCGAGTGGGCATTGCCAAGTCGTGTGTTTCTGCCTTGTCTGGTTTTGGCGTCCAACACGGGAATTGTGCAAGCGCACATGTCAGTACACGGCAGCAGTCAGCCTTTGCAACGCAACACACGTCGACACAACTGGCAATCTGCTGAAGCGAACGGCAACATACGGCAACCATAAAGCACATGTGACTCAGTCTCAGAACAAGCTCTTCACTAAAGGTAGTTTTGAGCTTGTTGCTTGTACCCCTCAGCCTGATTCAGACTTCCAAGACCGCGTTGGATCAATGAGCGGCTTAACGACAGACAGGCCGAAACAGGAAAGACAACAGTGGACATCCACCCCGGCTTGAGCACTGAGACTGCACTTGCCATTTGCAGGACAGCTTGTCACTGTCCTCAGCTTTCCTAGCTGCTTATGTCAGGACAGCTGTCAGGTGAGGGAAGTTCGGACATGAAAAACGCTCAAGCTGGTAATGTCAAGCAACCATGCCGTGCACGATCAGAGGGAGTACAACACCGTGACAGCCCAAAACCCCTAGAATCGGACGAGACCGTGACAGCCCAAAACCCCTAGAAGCGGACGAGACAGTGACAGCCCAAAGCCCAAAACCCCTAGAAGCGGACGAGACCGTGACAGACCAAAGCCCTTCGAAGCGGACGAGACCGTGACAGACCAAAGCCCCTAGAAGCGGACGAGAAAGTTCGCCGAAGGGCTTGTGACATTAGAATCCCGAATCCAGCTGAGGCTGGTGCGAATCCTGTTGGTCTCCGCCATGGTCTCTTTCTTCCTGGCCTGGATGGATGAGAAAAGCAGCGAGGCCTTGAAGTGAAGCCCACTCACGAATACTCACGACGTAGTCCATGTAGAGGAAGTTTACTGAATTGCGCACGTTCCTTGCAGCGTCCTTGCAACGTTCTGCTCGGGGATGAGAAGGAAGGGATCACGGCATTTGTGGAGCCGCTGCTCGGCCGACATGAGCAGTGTCGGGCATCGGTGCTTCTTGGAGTGAGGGTGCCATGGTCCAAGGCTAGTCATCCTCCTAATCCTCATCGCGAACGCATTTGTGGCTCGTCAATCTTTTTTGAAAGCTGTCGGTAGATGAGACGCAGCTTTGAAATATCGCAGGGAGAAGAGAGTATGCGTACAGAGCCCCATTCAGCTTTTGAGGTCTTAAGTAGTAGTTAGTCAAAAGACTCGTGGTTGCAGTTTCAGGTGGGTGTTTGGCAAGAGACCAATGCAGAGAAGGCGCTGGATGCTCTGAAGAGGCTTGCTGGTCCACACTTAGAGAGCCCTTAAGGGGGGAAGAAGGGGGTCAGGGGGAAAAAAAGGGGGGCACCTGCCAGGCTTCAGCCTGATACAGCCGCTGTTTTGCGCGATGGATGCTGGACACTGGTGCGCATAAATTCTATGCATGGATCTCATACTGAGAATTCAACAGGCGAAACCTTGAAAAACACATATATATATATATATATACATATATATATAAATATAACATAATACAATATGATATGATCTGATCTGATATGATCTGATATGATCTGATATGTGTATACAGACATATATGTATGTATGTATGTATGTATGCATGGCCTGGTGTTGTAGTGTTGCGCATGTTTCTTGTCCGCTTTTCTCGGTAGCCTCATGAGGACCACTGTGAATGCATCCGGTCTTGTGCCCGGGGATGTCGTGCAGGCTGGAATCTGATCAGGGTGCCAAACCATCAGAACGGAACGTGCCAAAGTGTTCTTGAGGTCAAGGTGGGCGACAAGGTGCCAGCAGACCTGCGCGTGATAAAGATGAACAGCACAACCATTCGTGTCGAGCAGCTCCTTGCCTCAGCGGAATGCGATAGAACCGTATAGGTGCGCAGCACAAGAAGCCAAGGTCGCAGCTTACTGGTGAGTCCCAGAGCGTGTCGAAAGATCCGGCCGCCTGCCTGCCCTCGGAGACCATCATCCAGGGCAAGGCATCAACATAGGACACCGGAAGAATTCAGGACGTGCATTCGTGTTCTTTGCCCCTGGCAGGTAAACATGCTCTTTGCTTCCACAACGATCTCCAATGGCGCATGCATTGGCGTGGTCACTGCAACCGGGATGTCGACCGAAATCGGGGCGATACAGGACTCCCCGTAGCTGAGTGCTTCCACACGGCTCCTGAGCCAGCAGGACTTGATGCATTGTGGAACGGTTTGTCTCCCTCTTTCCATCTCGGAAGGATGCCGTGCAGCTGGCCGCAGGTGAGGAGGAGATCAGGTTGGTTGGGCTGCGCTGTGACCTGGTCGTGTAGCAAGGTACGACGATGAGCCTCCTACTGAGACTGAAAACTTCATGGAAGTCCTGCCGTGGTTTCGCCGTGGGTAGCATCATCCTTTTTCCCTTAGCATGTCCGCGTGCAGGCAGGTGTCGTGCAGTTGTATTCTTTCCCTCCCTGGCTCACTCACGCACTTTCTTCCATCTGCCTGCTGTTACAGGAGCAAACACCGTTGCAGCAAAAGCTGGATGACTTTGGCAACTTGTTGGCGAAGGCGACCCCGCTTTGGCAGAGTTTGGGGTGCTCAGATGGTTGTCAGATCTACAGCAAGAGGATGCAATTTCTGCAGCTAGTAAGAAGCACAGGCTGGCTTCTCACAAACATGCGCACGCCAAGCTGCCTGTACGTCTTATTTCAGGCCCAGCGACACAGATGGGCCCTTCCGATGGCAGCATGCTCTTTGAAAACGTGCAAATCACATGTCGCAAGATTTAGAGAATGTATTCTGCCAGGTTTCAACCTGAGCCAAAAGAGCCCCGGATGCGGGTGGCCACACTGTGTTGATGATTCGTGCGGGTATCATCAGAACATTGGGGCACCCATTTGAGCCCTCTGGCCAACCCAAACAAACCTCCCGTGGTGACCACTTTCATGGGGAGAGACAACCCTAGCAGTCTGCTCGACCTAGCATGCCGGAGAGCTAGCTTGGAAGTTGGGAGGGAGGCAGTAGGCCTTAGGGTCTGTAGGTGAGCTAGACTGAAAAGTATTTATTTAGGTAGTGTTGTGATGCGATGTGGGTGTTTGTGGAAGAAGTTTTTGGATTGTCAGCTGGATGCGCTAGGCAGCGAGTATCTTGTGATGTCTTTTGAGGCCATGGGGCGGGGAGGGGTTGGCCGAGTCTGGCCACCGGGGAACAGTGCAACTGGAAGATGCCAGTTCATCGGGGCAGCAGGAATCAGGAGACTGGGCCTTGGCTCCCAAGAAACGAGGCAGCCATGATAAACTATGAAGCCAATGAAGCGGGATGGGGAAAAGAGGCAGAACGTGTTTGTGCTTGAACATTGCTTGAGGTCATCTTTGCCATTTGCGCGCTGGTGCCAGCCTCACTTTTGAGCTCGGCTTCATGAACTGTCGATGCGTGCAGCATTACCAAAGCCTTTCCCCAAGACTACTACTTCATGGCGTGACAGACACGCAAGACTGAGGTATGGTTGATCAATTACAAGCACTTCTTCGACCCTGTCCATGGCTCCGTGCCTGTGCAGCCAATTTGGTCAGAGATTCAATTATTATCTCCGCCACTGCCGCCACCATGTCCTACCACACCTTTCTTTTGCTTGGACATTGCAATTAGTCAGCATCAGGTAATGCGAGGCTGCATCTACTACTTCAAGATTCTTGGTTTCCATTTACTCGTCATTACTCGCCACAAACACCAGGCTAGCATGGTGTTGCCCAGGGAACCTTTGCAGGAGATCGTTCCAGTCCAGGATGTTTTTTTGAAGCGAATGAAGACCAGGCGAAAGTGGTCCAAGCAGCAGGCGTGCGTGTTTCACACCATGGCTGTATGACTCAGAGCTGGGCTCAAACCCATTCTGCCGGCTGGGGATCCGGACCAATCAACAACTTCGACAGAGAACCCTCCATCCCGAGCAGCTCAATCACCGAGCACAAAGCACAGCCAGTCAACACGACGCGGGTTGGGTAAGTAGCGGGTGTTTGAGATGAGATCACGGGGACCAACGTCCTCAGAGAACATGCCCTGGATCCGATAGCGGCTTGCTTCAGAGCTGGAAGCTGCTGTGATGATCGTGTACAACCCAGGCTGGGGTGCCACCAAGGTTTAATCATGATGAACGCCAGGTTTCTGCAACGACTTGAAACCTCGTGAGTTCCCACTGTGCAACGCCATCTGCTGTCTTCGCTTCGGCATGGTCAAATTCAAATGATGGCCAGTTTGCCAGGGCTGTGTGGAAATGGAGCTGCTTCAATGAAGAGAGCTAGAAATCCATGTAAAATTCGCGTCAAGGTCGATGGCATATCGGTTTTGCGTTCTCGCTGGCCGGATCTGTCTTGCCAAAAGCCCTGCTCTGGGGAATTCCTAGTGGAATGCTTGCAGTGGCGACGCTGGGCTGCAAAGCTTTTGGGGATTTCGATACTGTAAAATGATGGCGTGCAAAGATTGCCATGTTCCAGGAGGGCATGCTGAATTGAAGCCTTTCTTTTCCATGCATGGTTCGTGTACACAGGCTCGGGTTGCAAGGATCGCCTGGTATTGTTTGAACGTTAGACTCGAGGAGCGTCACCGTGGCCTGCAAGTTTGCAGTCCCATGGTTTCCCCTTCGTCTGCACTGGTTGATGCAAGTTTTAGGCTCAGCCTGCTCATGAAGCACCTGGAGATTACCCTAGAAAATTTTGCCGCGGGACCCTCAGCAGAAGCTCAGAGGTGCTGTGCCCTTATCTCTTGCAGCACGGTCAGGTTCTCCGAGCGCAATGCTGCAACTCGCAACTAATGGTTGGCACACAGAGTTGTGAAGGCTCGACACGACACAAGCATAGGCACAGACAATGACACCAGTTTATTTCGTCAGCCCAGCTCTGAGGGACAGATAATAATTACCACCCAACAACGAACAAGCTACATGGCACCGCACGAGGTGCCAGAATGTAGCACTGACAGACCACAAGCATAGAGCAAATTCAAACTGAGCCCACTGCAGCCAAGCCAAGCACGATGCAAAAAGCTAGATGTAGTGGTAGGCCACAGAGTTCTTCAATCGAAAGCCTCCTATAGTCAACATGCACGCAGAATGTCTGCGCAACACTCCAGTAGAAGGCGTTGTCTTTATCAATACTGAAGGCATCAAGCTTGTCAGCTCCTAGAATCGTATTCCTGAAGCTTCAATGTCCTTAGGCATGACAATCAGTAGAAGGCCGCAGGATTGCAATGGCCACATCAATGGGTTTGACTACTTCATCGCACGAAAGTGCAACGTGTGGACTGAAGCACCTCATGCACGAATGGAGAACCGGACAAGCTTTGTTCGGAAACGCTGGATGGAAGGATCGCCATTTTGTGGGCAAGGACTGGAAGATAGGTTTCTGCCCAACATGCAGGTTAACGCGCCGCAAAGAGAAGCCAGCTCGCCGCGGGCGGGAGGGTCGAGCAGGGGCTGTATGCCGGAAGAGGCATGTGCACGGAAGGTCATGGATGCAACTGAGTGCACCTAGCTTTCTCAGGTCAGTCAGGCCTGGGCAGCCTACAACGTGCCTCAGATGTTCATTTTTCGGAGGAAGAAGTCGGCAGTCTTCCTTTGCTTGCCCCAGTTCGGCTCGTGAGTTGGATTCGATTGGTAATCCAGACACGCGCAGCCCCTCATCCTGACCATAGGACCAAAGCATCTCGTAGCAAACTGATGCTCGTACTGTATGCCTGTGACGATGAGGCCATGCTGGCGTTCCTGGTGGTTTTCCGAACGACACAGGCATATTCCAGATATTGGGAAGGCTTGGGGGGACTGCAGAACGCACGTCATTGGTTTGAGCTGTTCATGTCTTGGTATGTTCATGTCTTGGTATTGTCACATTCTTATCGTTACAGTTGCCCCATGGTCCGTGTCGGGAGTTAAGTAGTGGCAGGAGCAGGCACGTATTTAGTTGGTTAGTCGCGTCTTTGTAGTTCTTGTACAGTTGCAGTCCTATCGCTCGGTTCTGTCGGGGCAGGCAGTTTGAGGACAGGGCAGATCCGTGGATAAGTGGGAATTGAGTGACCCAAACCTCACCCCCAAAGAAACGTTGTGATCTAAAAATGCTGAAACTGGCTATGAATACCATCCTCCTAAAACAAGGGGCCCTCTCACATGTCTCTTGGGGCCATGGAGGCCCTCAAGGCAAGAGGCCTTTAGGTAAAGGTGACCACCCAATTAAAATCATGCGTCACGCACTCGTTTCACTCCCTTGTTTCCTTATATTTATTTTTATTAATAGGAGTTCTCGTTTACACGGTTAATCCACAGTCTCATGATAAGGGCTGTAGTTCGTGCACTCGTTCTCTCATTTCGTGCACGCATTATAATATTATTCACGCATCCTCTGCGTTCACTTGTAATAACATTAATGCGTGAACTTAATGAATGAACGGAGTGAATAAGTGAACGCAAGCTTTGTGACAGGTGCTGCCTGGGTTTTGTTGGGTTTTGTTGGTCTTCCGGTTTCGGCTGGAGGCACTCAACGTAGGCCACGGCGTCCTGCAAAGGCCTTTTTCCGAACACAGCAAGGAATTAAGAAGGAATCTGCAGAATCCAAGTCAGCGGTCACTGTTGGACCTGCTGTAAGGGCCTGACGACCATCAAACCAATCGCGCACCTGCGAGTGCAGTGATCGATTGCTATTTGAAAGACTTTAACCACACATTGCCAGTCGGGACGCCCGTCGTCACGTGCCCAATCTATGGAAGCAGAAATCACTAAAGGCTCGTCATTTTCTTTGGATGTCCCGTCGCAGCTGGTGAATTGGGAGGTCGCCCCGTATTTTTAGTGCTGCTGGCGAGTAGGTCCATAGTAGGTCCGGATAATGTGCTGGTTCACAGTGCAGTCGCGCTCAGTTGCTCGGATACGTGAGGCAACGCCGAGCAAAGCCACAGGGTCAGCGATTTTCACAAGAGAGGTTGCAGGCTCTGGGAAGGAGGCCTTGTTGCAAGATTTCAGAGTCAAGAGGCGAGGCCAACAAGAAACCGAAGGCTCTGGTCTGCTTGGCGGATGCGGAAGAGCGTGCACAATTGCAAAGCCATTTTGGTGTGGATCCGGGAGTGACTGGTGAGATGGTGCCAGTGATGTGTGAGTGGGTTGATTGCGATGCGTCAGCTGTTTCAACGACCAGTACTGTCCAGTTATGCGAGAGCGAGTGGACGGGTTCCACCGGAGTAGTTTGTGTGACGGGAGGGGTGTGAGTGATTCCGGAGCCTGCCTGCCGCCCGCAAGTGTGAGAGTCGAAATCAGTTCCGGCTGGGAAACTTGTCTTTCAAGAGGATACTGCAAGGTCATGCAATCTTCCGTTGCAAATGTTATAAAGAAAGCCCCGAAGACTAATTACATGGTTGTGCTGTCTCACGTACGCGGACCGACTTCAGGAGCCACGAAGCTGAAACAGGTCCGGGGGGAGTGGTTTGGCGCTGCTTCCAGCCTCTTTGCTTTCTGCAGCAGGAGGGAGGAGTTGCAGGACAGCTGTTGCAACCCATGTCAATGTAAGCCCCGCGCGGTGGGTTTTCCGAAATGCAGCCCGACACACCCACACATCCTCACACATCCTGAGGACGAAGTCACGACATTTCAGCATCTGTGCCTTGGCATAAGAGTTTGTTTTAGATTAATGGGTAAGCATTGCTCGTCGACTCTGCTCCACACTTAAGACATCTCGAACCTAGAAGCATGTCCGAATTCATTTGGCAGCAGCATTATTATGTGCCGCCGATCAGAAGTATGCCGGACACAGCAACTTTGGATGCTGTCAGCTGCGTGATTGCATGTCGCCTGCCAGCATCTTTTTGTCAGTAGAGCTTGCAAGAAAGGACTGAGAGCTAGTTGCTAGTTCATGTGGCTATCGCGCGCTAGCTACTCATAGAAGTGGTGCCATCCTGCCGAAGTGACATGTTCTCACTCTGGTGGTCACAGTTCGGCCAGTTGGCCAGGCTCGTGCGCTTGGTTTCCATGCTTTGGGCAACCGCACTGGAACAGCTGGCCGGCTTTGACTTGGGCTTCGAGGCAATGGCGGACTGTGTAAAAAGCCGACCCAGCCATGCTTTCAGTCACGAAGAGCCGCGCAGAGCTCCGGTCCTTCTCATGGGATGTAGCATCGCAGAGCATCGCAGAGCAGACTCTCTGTTGCACGCGCAAGCACGGTGAAACGATCCATGTGCTCCTCGAAGCAGCTTCGAGTGTCTACTGTCCGCCCTTCAGCGCCCTTTGCAGGTTCTGGATATCTCTGGCCTTAGCTCAGCCTCACGGCGTGAACAGTTTTTTGGGACCTCGAATCGTAGCCGAGATCGGTTGCCAACATCTAGGTCGCCAGGAGTCCACACACCACAAAGTCAGGGAAACTGCCTTGCCTGTGAGAGAGAGAGAGAGAGAGAGAGAGTTGCTCGCCAATAGTTGTGATGTGCGCCTGCTGTTGAGAATCCGTCGAAGCCCGCCCTGTAATCATTGCAGTTTCGGCTGCGGTGATTTAATGTGATGTACGTAGTGCGACAGCCCCTCTGACGGGCGTTTCGGAGGAGTCCGTTGCCTACGTCCGGAAACAGGATGATACTCGGTCGCAGAGAGCACACACACACACACACACACACGTATCCATGCATTGTTTGCAAGCATGAGAAAGATGTCCACTGCACCCATGTTG